GAGCGCAGTCACGGCGAAGGGAGAACATGTCAGAGAGGAGTGAACTGCAGATATTGTGGATGCAACGGAACACGAAGAATATGGACTTAGTATGATATCTTTTGTCTAAGCTAATTATGTGGTATCGCTCAAGCAAGTATGATGTCCGCGTGAATGTGTCATGCTCAAATATGCATCTAAGTGCTCTCTTACTTATGCGTAGCAGCTGATCTCTCACATTGTCAGCGAGGCAGTGGACGTAGGCAGTGCTGGCGTACTCGAGCTTGCTCTGGACTACTGACACGTAGAACTGCCTTCTGGCCTGGACAGCAAGGTTCCTCCTTCCACGTCGAAAAGCACCTAGTTTCTTTCCGATGTCTTCCCTGAGGGAGTTAACGAGGGCACTGAAACTTAAAGTTGAATCGAGAGTCAGTCCTAGATACTTTTAAAGTTCCGGTCAGACGGGGGGGGGGGGCAATAACAGTCGAACCACAGACCGTGATGCTCAGGTTAGGTGGAGGATGTGAGCGTCTGCTGTGGATCAGTAGTACTTGGCTCTTGCTGGAGTTCAGGAGCAGGCCGCGATCTGTGAGGTGCTGCTTCACCACTGAAAAATCGTCTTCTAAGTAAGACATGAGAATTCGTGGACACTTTCCAGAGGCATACAGGGTGGTGTCGTCTGCATAAAGAAGGCATTGGGAACGCAATGGCAGAGTGGGGACAAGTCGAGTGTAGATGCTGAAGAGGGTAGGGCCTAGGACGGAACCCTGGGGAACGCCCCTAGTGCAGCTTCTACAGTCACTTGTGGTTCCGTTCACTTCTACGCGTTGCTGTCGGTGAGACAGATACGACTTGAACCACTCAAGAGCATTTCCACGGATCTTCAGATTGTGAAGGTCATCTATTAGCGTTTGGTGGTGGACGCGGTCAAAGGCTTTGCTCATATCGAGCAGCAGTACGGCCGTATAGTCTCCGGTATCCATGCTTCTCTGCCAGTTATTGATGGCAAGTGTTAAAAGGTCCTCAGTACTGTGGTTCCGCCTGTATGCAAACTGTTCATTTGGAATTGCTCCGGGTGTGATGTCCAGATGGTCGTGAAGCTGCTGGAGCACTAGTGATTCCAAGACTTTGGAGATAATGGGCATAAAGTAAAGAAGTTCAGTCAATAATGGAGTGAAGAGTTCATGCGAACCGTAGGGACCGGCGGATTCTGCTCGAAAAGGTGGCAGATTCTGCTCGAAAAGAAGTGAAATTGGCAGAACCATACAAACCTTATGGCAGGCAATTCCTCGAATTCTGCTCCATTTCTTTATCCACATACCAAACATGCATGAAACTTACCAGAAAAAGTACCGAATTCTGCCAATTTTTCTGCCGGCAGAATCCGCCGGACCCTAGCGTACCGTGTTCCAGGGAGTACTCTCTGAACCAGGGAGTCGGGTATACACGACTCCCTGCTCTGAACCACACCCTACAAGTACAAGTACACGGTACAGTAAAACTCCCCTCAGATTTATGATTCGATTCGGATTCCCCCGTACATGTAGCGACTTCACGCTAGTCCTTTGCTGATAAAACTCGAAAAATGGCAGCCTATGATTCTTCTCGAACAGCAGTGGCAGTGGGAGAGCCACACAAACCGGCCGTACTTCCTTGAATTCTGCTCCACATGGTTTCGGCTTTGTCGACATACCAAACATGCATGTATGAAGAGAGGCACGAACGACATGCGACAACAAGACCGTGCATCGGGTTTGGATGATTGAAAGTCGGACTACAGCTGCGGTGTCTAGATTGTAAGATGTCTGATGATGAAGAAGAAGGAAAAAGCAGAGGCGTTTATAGGTTGAAGGCAGGTATGCTTGTCTACAGTCATGTACATGTACATGTCATCAAGAGTACTCTTGATGTCATGTACGTTCTAGGTGCAGCAGAGATCGCATCCCATAGCGGCCCAACGCGAAACATTTTTCCATGCTTTCCATGCCACTGTCACCCGACACCTTGACAACCCCCATCTCCCCCTCATTCTGATCGGCGACTTGAATTACAGAATGTCCTGTTGGCTCCAGTCCGACCCAGATACTACAGAAGGCCGGAAACTGATCGCCACGCTGGATGACCTGGGACTGGGTCTTCTCCAACTCGTCACCCACACACCCACTCGTTACGCGCCAACAGGTCGATCGCCTCCGTCTCTGCTTGACCTTGTCATCACCAATACTCCCCATCTAGTCACCACTCCCGAAGTGCTGCCTCCGCTCTCCGACCACTGTCCAGTACTCTGCAACATTCAACTGAGGCAACTCAGACAGCAAACTCGTGAGCAGATAGCGGTACCGGATTACGCACGCACCGACTTTGAGGCTATGCGAGCGGACCTCTGGTTGCAGCCTCTCCGAAAGTGTATAGATGGCGCCAGTTGTATGGAAAGCGCCTGGCACTCTTGGCACTCCTATGCCAATGAGAGTATCCAGCGCCACTTGGCCATGCGAACATTGAAGCCGAGAAGACTGCAGACCACGAAGCCTTGGTTCACCGCCCAGCACAAGCGAATGCACAGGAACAAAAACCGTATTTTCAAATTAGCCCAGAGAACGAAAGCGCTGGAAGACTGGATAGCGTACAAGATGGTGAGAAATGCTCTTACAAACAGTCAAAAACGCAGCAAGTCCCTCTATTTCGAAGAGCTTTGCTCGCGTATTGATAGGGACAAAAACTGTTACAAATGGTGGGCCAAGGCCAAGAAAATTGCCCAGATCAGCAAGAAGCGAGCGACCATCCCGACCCTGGTTGATGATTGTGGAGATGCGGCTTGTGATTCTTCTAAAGCAGAAGCACTGGCCCGTTGCTTCAAAAGCCAGTTCTCCCCAAATCCGTCTTTTGACCCGTGTGCTACCACCCTACCACCAGCACAATTTACACCAGATCTCCAGTTTCAATTGCCAAACATAACCCAGCACGAAGTCTTCCGCAAGCAGCGCACTCTGCCCAAGCACAAGTCTGTGGGCGGGGATATCACGAACGTCATACTGAGAGAAGGGGCACCCGTGATAACGCAGTCCCTGTGCCACCTCTTCAACACTAGTCTCCGCCTCGGGCAGCTACCTAGTGACTGGAAGTTGGCTACAGTCATACCTATCTACAAAGAGAACGGTAAACCTGCGGAGCCAGCTAGCTGCAGGCCTATCTCCCTGCTGCCGGCGGCCATAGCGAAGATTCTGGACGCCATCATCGCCGAGCACCTCACCAGCTTCCTCAATAGGCAGGGATTAATTACCGA